GACTATCTGTCATGTTTTATTCACATGTGTTAAAGCACGTGAGATATGGGATCAAGCTAATGTCCAAGTTCCTTTAGGAGGTTTCTCTAGGAATTCTACATTCTTAAATTTTGTCCATTTACTCAAAATTGCAAGGAGCGCTTCTTTGGATATCCATACACAAAAAGTTTTTCCATGGTTGCTATGGGAAATATGGAAAGCTCGGAACTCATTTGTTTTTAAGAATAAAGTTTTAGAGTCGTCTTTTATTGCTAGGAGGGCATATGAAGATGAACTAACATGGTACGATACCTTCACGGGATCGACAGACCAAGTGGATGATATGGTCATAGATAAGGTTCGATGGAGGAAACCCCCTAATGGATCCCTAAAATGTAATGTGGGATCTTCATGGATTGACCCAAATCAGCCGAGTGGTGCATCATGGATTCTTCGCGACGAAAACGGAGGCACGCTCATGCATAGCCGTCGGGCTTATTCTTACATGCGCACAAAGATCGAAGCCGACCTGTGGGCTCTTTTTTGGGCAGTGGAATGTTTGCACAATCTACACTTCTCAAACATTATTTTGGAGACTTCATCGGAGTGCTTACATGACGCTATGACAAATCCAACTGCACACCTTAGCCTCAGCCACATTCGTCACAGCATTCTCTGGCTTCTATCAGGAATAGATTCATGGAGTCTCGATCATACTCTTCCGGAGCGTAATGAAGCGGCAACGGCCATTGCTTTCAGCGTCACTCGCGATAGGCGCCACCAGTCGTACATCGCTCGGAATGCTCCATCGTGGCTATTTCACCTTCTAGTTTTGGAGGCTAAATGAGTAAGGGTGTTGGTATATCCTGCTTCTCTTTTCTTTTGTTGTTATGATGGTGTCTACTGACATCTCATTTTCCTAGTTTTTAGTCTTCCACATTTGTTTGTCCTCAAACTTTGTTCATTACTCAGTGTTAAAAAAAAAAAATAAAGTATCTATAAGTATTTTAATTTAATTTTAGGTTTTTATTAAATTATTGAAATATTTTAAAGCCTATACCAATTCTACAACCTTTAAAAGAAAGATGTAGGTTTTTTGCTACATAAGAAAAAAGTTTGCTTTATTTTGTTGCCTTAACTTTAAAAATAAAGATAAAGTATTGTTGATAAAAATTAATAGAAATTTGATGTAGGTTTTAATTTGTTTTAAAAAACCACATCATAATTGATAAATTATAGTGATTTAAAAATAAACAAAACAAAAGAAGGAAGATAAAGTCCAACAAATCACCCCCATTGTTGTAGGAATATGTTTTCATTTTTAGTGTTTTCTCATTTAATTTTTTCAGCTGCATTATATGCAATTACATTAAAAAAAAATCATACAAAAAAAATTCTACAATAAAATTTTTACAGCTACAACAACTTTATAAATCAACCTAGTTAGGGTCTGACTGGTTGAAACGTAGTAGTTGTGGCTGCGGGATTTTGCGGATGTGGGTGGTTGCAGTCTAATGTTATTAGGTGTTTTGTATGATTGGTAGAGCAGTTAAAGTTTACGGGATATTTATGATTGTTGATTATGAGATAAAGTAGCGGTTTAATAATAAATTACTAATATAACACATTATAATATTATAAAAATAGAAAAACATAATATTATGATAACTATAATAATTATTAATATAATATAACATAATTAATAACAATATTGTATTTTTTTTTTAAATTTAAGTGAAGTTATAATTTCAATAAAATTTGTTTTGAATATGTATACTAGAATGTTTAAAAGAATATTGCTTTGTTTTATATATCTATTTATATTTATATATGTTTATATGTTAAGTATAACCATTTTATAGTGAATATTCTTGATTTAAAGTTTTTATAATATAATTATGACATTCTTGGTGAATTAAATTACAATACAAAATGTATAAACACATTACACACACACACACATATATATATATATATATATATATATATATGTTTATAATATTTCAATTAAAAGAATTAATTTAAAATTTTTATTTAAAAAAAAAATTATATTTATTTATCCAACTGCAACCGTAAATGCTAACTAGAACTATTTTTTATTTTAAATGGTTCAGAACAGTTTAGAACGATTTATAGTATTTTGTGTGATTGTTATAAAATGTCAATAGTCGTTATCAACCGTAAAAATTACATCTGTGGTAACGGGAAAATCAGTCGACCCCTTGATACATGGAAAATAAACAAATGGACCACAAGGCCCGTCGAAAGGAGTTTCTCTATCTTGTTTGATATCGATATTGGAGACCAATGGGTCTACATTATGCTTTCATGTAGTATGACCTACTTCAGAACTGTGCAAAGCGACCTAAAAGTCTAAGAGCATGTTTATTTGGGAGTTCTTATTATAGGGTTCTTAGATTCTTGCGGAATATAAGAATCGTTTTTTTAACTTTTAATTAAAAAAAACTCTTAAATTTAGTCAATAAATTTTAAAGTTCTTAAAATATAATTTGATAAAATCTATCAAAATGACACGTTTAGATTTAGGATTTGGTCCTTCACATCATCGTCATTGTACTCATTGAAAAAAAGTCAAAATCATTGTGTAGTTAGAAGAAGTCCATTAGACATATAAGATATGGTGCAAGTCGTTATAGGCTGTTCCCATTAATTAAAGACATGAAGTTGGTAGGCAAACTATTTCATTTCACAAAATCTGTAAGTAATCTCGACCAAGAATCCCAATCCCTTTTTGTCTGCTTGGAAGAAGAAGAAGCATTACAAGAGAAAAAAAAAAGAAGAAAAAAAATCTTGAAGCAAATTCTAACCCATCTAAAAATATATAATCAAACTCTAACCCATGTCATGGGTAAAAAAAAAAAGCACACTTTACATTTATAAAAACAAACAAATAATATGAAGAATGAAACCGCATAATCAAGTATCATATGGTTGTATTGTTTCACTTTTCATGAAGCTAATGATCTCGGAACTCTCATGCCAAATCCATGCTTCGTCTTCTCAATCCTGTTTTCACAAGTTATTATTAAAACTTTCGCAACAAAAATCTCAGAACCTAACCTAAAAGACTGTATGTTTGTGTAACTTGCTTACGTTGGGGCTAATCTGCCAAGGCTTTTAAGTTCCTCCCCTGAGTCTCCATCAAGGACCCTTCCTGATATATCAAGAATATAAGAACGGTTCTTGTCACGAGGAAGACCACGACCCACGAGTAACTCCAAGTCTCTCTTGTGAAGCTCTCTTCCATTCACATACACTTCTGTGTTTCCTGCAGCACACCTATCTGGCATTGGATGGCTAAACTCCTCAATAAATGGCTGCAAGAACAACATGTAACTAATCAGTTTGATGATGCTGTTTCAGTAACCAACACAACAGAAGAATGCGAAGGGACTTACAGGTATTATACCGAGACATGGTTTGCCCATTACACCCCAGAACCCAGCTCTGTAGTCATACCTGAATCAAAGACAATAAGTTAGAGACCAAACAAGTAAACAAGCAAAAAAAAAAAAAACAAGAGAAGGTTGAAGTCATGGTTTATTACCAATACTTTCCAGTTTGGATTGGTCCAGCTAGTTTCTCAGCACTGCTAACTAGATTTTCTGGTATAAGATGTCCATTGACCCAAACCTCTAGTGACTTCCCTTGATCTTCGTTTCGGTTTCTTGTTCCGTTCTTGTCTTCTTCTCTTCCGGTAGAGCACGTTGAATCTTCAGTGATCTCGGTGTTAGAGTATCCATTGTAAGAAACCTCTGTCTCTGTAGCTACTGATTCCGCCTTTACCGAGTCTTGTTTCTTGAAAACTTCTTGCTTATAAGGCTTGGTATAACCCAACTCTGCCATCCCATAAGCAAGTGCAGCTCTGTTTACATTAGAATATTCAAAAAGCTCAAGGAGACTTGCACTCTCAGGAGCACCAGCAGGTTCCGGAGATTTTGAGCCTTTAACTCGTCTAGGAACAGATTTGACCTCTTTCTGTTGTTGTTCACTAGAAACACTCGACCTTTCTTCATCATCTGAATGTTGAGATTCAGACCGGGTGGTTTTAGTAGTGTCCCCCTGATTCTTTAGTTCTTGATTTGTTGTGGTTCTAGCTTCAACCACTAGAGAGACCGGTTCTGTTGTTGTGAAAACGAGTTTCTTATCAACGATTGTGAAAGTAATAACCTCAGAGCAAGCACCACATTGCAGCTTATGCTGCCTCCCCTCCTGAGCCAAAAGCTTCTTCTTAGGCAAGTAAAGCAGCTCAAAGCAACTACGACAAGCTATAAAAGGAGCACCACCAGCAAGTGGATGACAACGACGAGCATCGCTATCAGAAACAGCTTTCTTAACATACCCACGAGCAAAAGCACCACCACCGCCCATCTCAGAATCAAGACCACTAGGCCACCTAGCGTAGCCACCACCACCACCACCTCGAGGACCTGGAGAGTTCATAGAAGAAGGAAAACTAGGACTGTTGTTGTAGGTGTTCCCAGGTGGACTGTAGAGTCTCTGGTGAGAAGAAAGAGGGCTATAAGGAGGCATGTCACTGTACCTACTGGGAGTAGCTGGAAAGTATGGATGTGAGTCAACTACATCAGCACCACCAGTCATATGATTAGGATAGGGACCATAAGGGTTTGGAAATGGAGGTGGTCTTCTATAAGGGTCTTGATGATGATGATAACCTTGAGGGTAATGTGGATAAGGATAAGGAGGAGGAGCATGGAGATGGATTGGTCTGAGGAATGGTTGAGTGTGGTCTGTTTCTTTTGGTTTATTACCACCACGAAGGAGATGATCTTTGATTGAATCTAACCGTCTAAGAAGCTCGGCTCGTTCTTGCTCTGTATACTCAATAGGGTTGTTGGTGTTTGTGTTCTTTGAGGGAGATTCTGAACCAAGGTCTTGGCTTTTGCCGGATCTTTGAGACCCGTTTGTAGTGTGCTTCCCCTGGAGACTCGTTGTTTCTTTTGAGGAGCCAGCATCTGATCTAACATCATCTACGTCGTCACCTCGTGACCTCATCAGCTTCTCTGATTATGAATCGAAGGCGACAGCTTTTTAGGGTTTATTCAACTGCAATTCAATTCAAAAGAAAGTTTTCGACTTTAGATAGAATTCTAACACAAACAACATGTTTCTCAGAATCGAATCATAAGAAATCGATTGAACAAATTGAAAATTTTGAGTTGATGGGCACTACTACTATTGCATAGAGAAGATGATTTGATTATAATCAAGAGAGAAAAGGAACGAAACCTTGAATAATGGCGACGCTGGAGTTAGTTAGTTAGGTGAGCAGATAGGATTTTGATGATTGAAATAAATGCAACGCAAAAGCCTTTTAATCAATCCCTCAACCAAATTTCAGAAGAAGAAATGAAAGTCAAAAGGACTCTTCTTCCTTCCCTTCTCGAAGTAGTAGTAGTATTAAAAAAAGGGATGAATCGTCTGTTTCTTGGGATTCTATTAAATGTCGGCTGCTTACTTTACTACCAAACTTGAGCTGTAAATGCTTATGCCCAAAATAAACATAACATTTGAATAATCGTTTACTTTTCTCGAATAAGGCAAAGACTTCAATAGTGTAGTTGATGATATATAGACTTGAAAAATAGGAGTAATTAGTTGATGATATAGACTTGAAAAATAGGAGTAAGAGTGGGCTCCGAATATCTATTCACATTCGATTTGAATTTATTCGAGTTTCAAATTTAAACATTTTAATCATATTCAAATATTTATAAATTTTAGTTGGAACAGATTTAGATTTTTGTGGATTTAGTCCGGGTTCAAATAACTTGTTTAAATTATTTTTTAACAATTAAAATTTATATATACTTTAATTTTTTTCAAAATCTAAAATTTATAAATTTGAATGATATACAAATGAGGTTGACTTGTATATTTAGATAAAACCAAATAGATATTTTATGATTTCTTGGTGATTTGAGTATTGTTTAATTGTTTTATATACAATCTTTTGATTATTTGTATATAGTTTAAAATATTTTAGATAATTTTCAAATATCTTATATATTTTTGATATTAAACTATAATATTATAAATATTATCAAGTATATAAATTTTATTTGGATATATTCAAATATGTGAAATATTTTTGTTCCTAACGAATTTGACTCTATTTTTCTAGATATTAAAATTTTGAATCTATGCAAATATTTAGCTAGTTTTAATTTTGATTTAATTAATGTTACTTTTCCAAATAAGGTTCAGTACAAATTTCAATTTTTTACCCAATCTTAAATAGGACAAGAAAAGTAAAGTAAAATTAAGACCTCTACACACCACAAATTCCTTAATTCACTCTATACTCTGTTACTTCATTATCTCTCCTTCCCACATATCACTACTTTCTCCACCAAAATATGATAAATTACTAATTTCACATTTTGTTAAAGATATCAACCCAATTCATCCAAAAGTAAAAGAAGCCATGGAGCCAGAAAAAAAAAGTTTTGATTTGATATTTGATAATCCTTTTTAATTTGAGGAAAGTAACATTGAGTGCCGTACGAACGTAAGCGTGTGAAAGGACAATCTGAAAAATGTTGAGCGGACTGGGTCTCGTTGACCCTACGGATATGCAGATGACGACCAAATCAATTTTTTTCTTTTTTTTCCAACTTCATTTTATTTTTCTTTATACAAAAAAATATAGAACTGGTGAATATGACCGTTTACCGACAAGTAAATCAATACATTTTCAGTAATCACATTTTTCCACTAAAGTAGTTCCAGTTACTAAGAAAAAACCTATAGTTTTTTCATTTATATTTACCGATTTAGTGTTCAAAATTAACCACTAGTACTATACATATCACACAGCCGAGCCGATACTAATTTTAACATAGTTTTCTTTTCTTGGTAGTTTAGTTCTGACAAAAGACAAAATAATTTGAAAGTCAAACAAAATCACTATAGTGTTTTTTCTTTATCCACAAATCATAACATACTTTTTTGGGTTGAAAATCATAACATACTTCCTTAACTATTAGCACAAAAGGTTTCATTTTAGGAAACCATTTTTATATCTATAACAAAGATATGTGTTACTTCACCTGTTTCATTTTAATTGTCATTTTATGTTTTTATACTAGGTTTGGGCATCCGGGTCCTCGGGTCGGGTTTGGGTTGGGTCTTGTCGGGTCCGGGTCTTTCAGGTCTTGAAAATTTAGACCCATATGGGTACCTATGATTTTTCGGATCGGGTCTTGCCGGGTCTGGGTCGGTTTGGGTCTATAATTTCAATACCTGTAAAATACCCGTAATTTTTGGATCCATATCAGGTCTGGATCGGATCCGGGTATTTAGAACTTAAAAAAATACATAACATGTCCAAAGTCACTCAAATTCAGTCAATATTTTCATATATAGCTAAAATTTTATAAAATAATTTAAATTAAACTATTAATAATTAAAGAAAACATTTTAAACACTAAATTTTATATTTTAAAACTTTAAAATGTTACAAATAATAATAAATATTGTTAACAAAATATATTTCAACTAAATTATAAAATAGTATAGATATATAAACATAACACAAAAATAATAGTTTTGGATATACATGTTTATAAGTCGGGTACAAATCGGTTCTTATCGAGTTGGGTCTATTTGGGTCGGTTCTTTTCGGATCCGGGTCTATTCGGTTCGATTCTTTTCGGGTCCGGGTCTATTCAGGTAAAAGAAATTTAGACCCAATAAATTTTCGGGTCGGATTCGGGTCGGGTATTTTCGGGTCGGTTCCGATTCGGGTCTTCGGGTCCGGGTAAAATGCCCAGGCCTATTTTGTACATAGATTAAATAAATATTTAATTTTATATATTTTCGAGATAAAAACACAATTACCTATACACCTAACCACTTTTCAACCAATAGAAAATAGAATATTATATAAAATTAATAAATTTTACCTCGAAACTCTAAAATGATATTTAATTTGTGACAAAAATATTAAGTCTAGAATGATAAGTATTTTGAAATGGAGGGGTATGTAACGGTCAAGTAATGCTTCCATGTTTAGTATATGTTCCAAAATTGAAATCTAAATGCTATCTTTTTTGTTTTATAATGTCAATAACCAGAATCCTAAAATCTTTTGATAATCACGCTGTCAAAAAGAAAAAAAAATATTTATGATAATCGCAAACGTTTGACTTTGAGTAATTATGTCTCTATCAAATTTTAATAATTTGTACCACTATTTATCATCATGTAATACTGGTAGAAGTGGACGCATAGTATAGGTCGCCTTCTGACTATTTTAGTCGTCATGCAAAAGCTAGCAACTGCAAAGTCGTCTTCTCCTGTATGATCATTTAAGATAAATGTGCACTTGTTATATCATATATAGTAGTACGTATATTATACACATATATCGATGACATTTGACAAATCTGCATACTATAAACGTTGACTAGTGGCAAGCAAAATTTAGGGTTTAGAATAATTACTAGACTTTGTGGATATACATTTTCATTTAATGGATAATATGTATTTAGAGTTTGACAACTTTTAATTGTTTGAATATGTACACATATATTTTAGGGATTATGAATTTATAAGCTTAGAAAAGCCTATACATATTGCATTTTTAAAAATATAATATGATTTAGTTTGAATATCCTACAAGGAAATCAAATTGTATAATCCTCGAGTACTATATATTACGTTTTGTTAAAAAACTATTGAATTAGAATATCCCAGTTTACTAATTTTAACACTAAGACGTCATATTAATTAGTAATCCATACGCAATAACCACCTCTTTTCTGTATGATATATTTAAGAATCTACAATTATTTGTTGCTAATATTATTTAGTTACGGTTTGACGTAATGCTATTAAACTCACCGAATTGGTTTGGTTTGATAAATTTTGTATACAATAAAATATATTCATTATAAATGAATGGGATTTGTCAAAAAAAAATTCTTTGCAAATTATGTTTCTGTGTGTAGGTTTGGTTTGGTGAACTTAATTATTCTGTTTTTTGCTAGACTGTAAATTTCATATTAATGAAAGTCAGGTTATACAATGAAATTTAAAGTCAGAGCCATCTTGGCACAAAAAAAAAAGCAGACGGGTCTACGATATAGGGAAAAATGGGTATTTAATTTTGGCAATTTTAATACTCAAGTATTGTTCGTGCATAATTATTTTCTAACTAATAGTTGACTGCACAAAATTAATAACGAAATAGTCAACAATTATCTGGTTATCGGATAGATAACAGTTTCTGTCAATTTTATAACAGTTAACAATTCAAATCATAATTTTAGCAGTTAATGACTAGTTGAGGAATAAATATACGCATATAATACTTAATTTTTTTAGTTAGCCGACTAAAAATACTTGAGGAATTAAAAGATCAATATTTTTTTTCAAAAAAAAAACCATAATTTAAAAGATTTCCAAGTCAGATACAATCAATATACTAGATTTTATTTTTTGAAAGAGATTTTTGAGCTTTTACAATGACATGTAAAATAATACAAATAATTATAGTTGCATTGTATTGATGATGTATTTCATGTTTATAAAACTGAAATCCTATATAAAAAATTTCTAAAAAAAAATCCTATATAAAACTAGATCCAATATAAAACTGAAATAATTCTTTTTTTTAAAACACAATTCTTTTTAAAAAACACAATCAAATAAGGTCTAACTAAATTAAATAGAAAATTAAAAAAACATCATTAATAATGCCTCTTAAAAACGATATAAATTAATTATAATATAAAACTGAAACAAAAATCGTAAAAAAAATACTCACAATTATTTTTTTATAAGAAAACAATCAAACAAGAGGTAACTAAAGTAAATATAATTTTTTTTTAAAGTAAAAATCCTTAACAAAATTAATAGTGACTTTAGTGTTAGGATTTTAGTATATTATATATTGTATAAAGTTAATAGTGACTTTAGTGTTCAAATAATCATACACTGGTTTCTCGATTAGGTTTAAGGCAGTCCAGTTTTGTTTGATTTGGAGCAGTTTCGGTTCAGTTGGTTTGGTTTGACTCGGTTTGTTTTTTTGCCTACCCTTAATCTAAAGTAGAGATCCAATGTACAACATATGATTTTCTAAATGATATGAAATCATCCATATGTGACTTTATAGTTATTTAGAAATTTTATTGTATTCGAAAGATTTTTATAGTTTGTTTTATTTTTTTATTTTGAATATCCTTTAGTTAGTTTAGATAATCTAACTAATTTTAAATTAGATTTAAGAATAATTTAAATATTTTGACATTTTTGTCAATTTTGAATTTTCAAAAATATATTTGGAAAGATTCAGATTTCACTACAAGAAACGTTGTTATAGCGACTACCTATTACGACTACATATATGTAGTCGTAATTTCCCATCT